GGCGGGCCCCCCCCCCCGCCGCTGGAGGACTGCGCCGGCACCGGCGTGTCCTTCGCGGGCCCTGGCCAGAGGCTCGCGCAGGAAGGGCGGCCGTCTGCCTCCCAGACCTGACGTCTGACCTTTGGGTTGGTCTAATAAAAGAGATTTACCCAAAGGACCTTGAGACCTGACATCCTACACTTTTCTTTCCGCCTCTTTTTCTTCCTCGTTTCCAGCTATTTACTTCTTCGCAGTCAGCCTCTTTTCTACCTTGAATCAGAGCAGGGCTAGGCGACGTTTTTTTGGCCGGAGTGCTGAAAACCCCCACAATGCCTACCTTGGAAGGTGCCGGAGTGCCGGCATGCCAGAAAAACAAAATGAGGGCAGGGGGTACGTGGCAGGATGCCCTGCTTGTGCCCCTTGCCCCCTATCCAAAGGCCCTGCCCCCAGCCTGCGCTCTGTGGCTGTCAGCAGCTACCCCGGCTCTGAGTAGCTGCTGGAACTGGGGCTGCTTCCAGCAGGGCTTGCAGGATCCCAGCTCCCTGCTGGGAGCAGCCCGGGCACCCGGCTGGCAGCAGCTACCCAGAGCCGGGAGGCTGCAAACAGCAGCACCAGGCTCCACAGTTCTGGCATCAGCTCTGTGCTGGCTGCGAGTGTGCGCGCACCTCAGGGCAGGCTGTGCTGCCCCACTGTTTGCTCTGAGGTGCGTGCACAGTCGCTGCCAGAATGGAGCTGATGGAAGAGCTGTTTGCAGCCTGCTTGCTGCAGCTGCCCAGAGCTTAGGCTGCCTACAAACAGCTGTGCTGGGCTCTGGAGCCCAGTCACCAGCTCTGTACCAGGAGCCGGGGAGAGACTGGAGTTGTGCTGCCTCAGGCCCCTCCCCCACTGCTTGCTCTGAGGCATGCTTGCACGTGCCGGTACAGAGCTGATGCCAGGGCTCTGGAGCCCAGCACAGCTGTTTGTAGCCTCCCGGCTGCAGCTGTCCCCAGCTCTGGTTAGCTGCTGCCAGCCGGGAGCCCGGCTGTTCCCAACAGGTGGCTAGGACGCTGCAAGCCCTGCTTGGGGCAGCCCAGGCTCCGTCACTGGCAGCAGCTACCCAGAGCCAGGGCTGGCTGTGGCGTGCTGAGCAAAATGGCCTTGCATGCCATGCTCAGCATGTGCGCTGGGGGTTGCCAACCCCTGAATTAGAGTCTTCCTTACACACCTTTACCAACTGTGACCACCTGAGATCCTGCTCCTGCCTTTGTATCAAGATCATTTCCATCATCACAGATCCTCATGGGAGCTATTAACTGACTGCCCAGAGGAGTTTTCCACCTATTGATTCCTCAGTGAAATCCTATGAAATATGAACTTCCATTTCTACCCAGGAGAACTTTTACAATCTTTTCTCCAATGCCCGATGAAGGGTGTTTGTGCCCGAAAGCTTGCAATTAAATCAATTTTTTTGCAAAAATCTGGTTGGTCTAATCAAATATATCATCTCTACTATGAGTCCTGATTGCCTTTTCCTCTAGACCAATACGGCTACAACCTAGATACTGTACTCATCTTTAGGTTCCCCGCCCCCCACTTCCCTGCACTACCTTTTTGTTTCCCTAATTTCCACCTATTTACATTCTCACTGACATCCTGTCACACTTTTAGCTGCTTTCATTCCTTGGAGTCTTAGACCAGCAGAGACTTCCAATGCCTGAAGAAGGACGATCATGTGAAAGCTTGCTAAGAACTTCTTACCAAATACCAGTTGATCTAATAAAAGATATCATATCTACCCGAAGAACTTTGCCTGCCTTATTCCTGAGATTTTAGAGCCTTGTGGTACCAATGAGAAAAGCCAGACCAGTGATGAGTATGGTATGAAAGTGGCCCCTAAAACGCCCTGTTCTTTCCTTGCTAATTGCCGGGTTACTTGTGTGAAATACAGAGCTTTTTTGGTAGCTGGAAATCAAGTTGCTTTAATGGTTTGCTTCATGGATCATGACATCTGCTAACACTGGGCAGTGATGTGAAACGAGTGTACACTGGGAAGTGGGAAATGCTTATCCAAATTGCAGGAAGGATTTAGAGAGATGTGATGTTATTACCCAGTTTGGAACACAGCCAGCATTAATACACGACTCACTGTTCCTGCAAAAAGTGACGGGAACTTTATTGAGCAAAAGTGATCAGGACTGAGGTTTTACATCTTTTTTGAGCAGCAGGACAAACAATGCTGGAATAATATTTTAGAGAGATGAGTTAAGTCCCCTTCCAAGTGCCAAAGTATTGCTTGTGAGTTTATTAGTACAGGATCACAGCACAAAGTGGTAGCAACATGGTACAACATGGTGTATTTGTATAAAATATCCTTAATACATAAACACAAAACATTTTGAGAGGGGAATCAGGTCTGAGCTAAAAAAAAGGATAGATTTTAAGAAGAGATTTAAAGAGAAGTGGCTTCTTGCCACTGAGCCAGGAGGCTGGGATGGCTCCGGATCCATGAAGCAGCAGAAGTACACTCTGGTGCTTCTCCCAAATGTTCTGCCCTTTAATTCTGCAGCACTAGAAGAGAAACCAAGGCAAATCACAACAACATAGTAAAAAGAGCCTAAAGAAGAAGTGACAAAAATTATAATCTTTAGATCAGCACAGAGGCTACTTAAACATACTACAAGGGTTACAAGGAATGCAGAAAGGCAAGAAAATAATGTTAAGCTGGCAAGACATATGAAATTATAAAAATCAAACTCTTGGAGCTAAATTATGTAGGAGAATTCAGAAAGCCACTGAGGAAACAGGGTCCTGGGTGCCCAGGCTACTGATGTCCAAATATTCCATCTGTATTAAGCACCTACAGAGAACTCCATCACAGTCGCACTAAGGAGGAGAGGGAGGGAAGGCTTGTGTGAGAGTAGATTAACAGGTTTGTGTTTTTAACTATTTAATGTTGGTAGTATGCCAAAAAAGGGTGTAAGGCTGGATCCCAGCTGTAGTAACAGTAGGCCGAGAAACAGAAATACAGCCTGGAAATTATGGGAGTAGTTGTATGGGAGAACTTGAACTCCAGCTGCAGTCCACAGGAGGTGGCGGCTCCTGCAGCCAGAATGGAGCGTGGAGCCCAGACCCTCCCCTGATGGGTGGCATGGCTGGAGCAAAGCAGAGCCTGTGGAGAGTATGGGAGGATGTGGACTACCCACTGCGGGGCTCAGGGCTCCCTACCCTGCTGTCCTTCCCCTGGAGGCCTCCGCAGCCCAGCAGGCAGGACCTGGCACCCACCTTTGGGAGGGTGACGCAGGGTGGCAAGACTTGGTGCTGCCACCACCACCACTGGGACTCCTGCAAGCTATCCCTACCCCCACCCCCATCATGTTCCCCCCAGCCCCAAGCAGCCTCTTGCAGGCTGGAACTCTGTCGGCCTGCAATGGGAAACCCACTGTTTCCCATGTTTTTCTCCCTTAAAGGAGAAAATCTGTGTTTTTCTGCAGCTAACCTAAAACCTGGAACCCAGGTCATGAAGGATGTGGTGACTGGAAACAACCCACGTAATGTACTCATTCCTAATAATAATTCTGTTGCTAAATAAATCACTTACCTTTAAGTACAACACTAGGTGTTTTTTTTCTTATGTATCCAGGATGTTTAATGTAGTTTTATTTAACTAATAAAAATCCACTAAAATGCAAATTTTCTGCATTTTTAATTGATTCCAAATTTTATCCAAAAGCAGACTTACAGAGTAAAAAAAAAAATCTGCTAAATAAGAAATGTCATCCAGCATTTTCTAACATCCCGAAAGAAAAAATAAGGATCTGAAAAAATATTAAGCTGAATAATTACTTTAGATATTTAGCATATCTTCCTGGAAAAGGTACCAAATATAAAGGTTATCTTTAGTTGCGACCAATAAGAATAATTCATATTATAGGAAAATAACTGAAAAATACAAATGCAAGGCAAGATTCAAAACAATTATTTAAATAGTTTTCTTGCTTGCTGATTGAAATCATAATTAAGATAAATTATTTAAGTGACCTTGATATAAATCATTCCACCCTGATTCAACCAGTAGAAATACTAATACAATGCAATGAAAACACTTACTGAAAGCTCCCTGTTAACCAAAAAACAGACAAGCAGGATGGAATAGTAAATAATTTTGAAAACTTGAATAATATTAATTTTGGTGAACCTTCCTTCAACCCCCAGGAGAAATAGTAGTGCAAAAACAAGATAAAATATTACAGTATGGAAATGAAGGAAAATGAGGAGCAGTTGAAAAAAATATTTTATTAAAAGAATAAATAACATAGTATATAGTTTAGTTTGTAAATAATTAATGTTAGAGAGATAGCAAATCAAGTGATCTTATTTATCCCTTTTTATAGAACAAGAACAGGGCAGTAAATGAAATAGAAAGGAAATAAAAATAAATCTGTTAAAAAT